ATGACTGTGGGTACTTTTATGAGACTAAGCCAGGGAGAAAGTTTTCTACACTAAGAAAACGAAGTAGTGGTTGGATAAAAATGTAAGAAAAGATTGCAGTAATCGAACATATTTTCACTGAAGTTCGGAGCTGCTCTGCTCAACCTGTTTTAGGAGTCTAGGGCAGGGAGCTGGTTCCCAATCTACCTGAGAAATAAGAATAGCTCATACTGCTGTCAATCAGAGGGGCTCACTCTGCCAGTAATTATTATCATCCACCACTATCAAAATCTATATTGGCCCATTTGTTCATTCATTCATCATTTATTTAACAAAAATTCATAGTTCCTACTATTTCTCAGGCACTATTCTATACATAGGGGATATAGTAGTGAACAAGACAGACAAGGTTCCTGTTCTTAAAGATCTTATAATAGAGGAAAAGACAAGCAGTAAACAAACCATTATATACATTAGTAGGCAGAGATAACCAGAAAAGACACAATAAGAGTGATATAGTAGACAGTAACTCAGAAGAGGTATTTAACATGTAGGATGGCCAGGCATGGTTCTTCTAAGAGGATGTCATTAAACTTTAAATGGATAACATGATGCCAATTATGGAAGAAGTCAGGGGAAGTGCATTCTAAAAGGAAATGATAAGTGCAGAGGCCTTAAAATGGGAAAGGCTTGGTGTATTCAATGAAACACAAGGCCAGGGTGGCTAGTGAGTAAGAAGTTGGTGCACACAAGGGCTAGATTAAAAAGGGCCTCTTGGTCTACATAAGAAATGTGGATTTTGTAGGGGAGGTAGGAATAAGAATTTGAAGATAAGAACCTTACAATCCTGGGAAGACTAAAATAATCATCTTCCCATATCCCTAACCAAGAATCATCTTCTGGATCTTTGTTTCTCAAACTGCAGTTTAAAGACTAGCAGCATTAGTTTGGGCATCAAGTGAGAGTTTTTTACAAATTGAAAACTGGGCTTCAACTTAGTTCTTCTGAATAAGCATCTGCATTTTAACTAGTCACTAGAGTACACATTATAGGGGGAGAATGCTCATCTAAAGTGCTGCTTGAAAAGTATCTGCAATTCCTAGTGAACTGTGGGCTCGAACACAGATAACCTAAAGTTGGCTTGGGAGCAAATCAAAAGAAAAAAATTTATGTTGTTCTTCAGAGAATACAAATTCTAGATATTTCCAATGTCTTAACAAAAGGGGTTAAATATAATCACAGACCTAAATACATGACAGCAAAAAAGAATTCTTTTTTGAAAAATCATAAAAGATGCAGCTAATCACGTATTTGGTATAGCTACTTTAAAGACATGATGTTTTCTAATGTAAAGATATTGGATGGGCACAGTGGCTCAAGCCTGTAATCACAGCACTTTGGGAGGCCAAGGTGGGCAGATCATGAGGTCAGGAGTTCAAGACCATCCTGGCTAACACAGTGAAACCCCATCGCAACTAAGAACACAAAAAATTAGCCAGACGTGGTGATATGCACCTGTAGTTTCAGCTATTCAGGAGGCTGAGGCAGGAGAATCACTTTAACCCAGGAGGTGGAGGTTGCAGTGAGCTGCGTGCCACTGGCACTCCAGGCTGGGTAACACAGCGAGACTCTGTCTCAAAAAAAGGAAAAAAAAAAAAAGATATTTACATGACAGCAGAGCAAACTCCATTTTTCAACCAGAAGAGTTGATTACCTGTGTCTTGCCAATTTCTATTTACTAACTAATTAAAGTCCATCTCAAAAATATATCTCTAATGACTGAGCACACACCTTATTCTAATTGCTTAGTTTGTCATACCTTATATTCTCAAACGTTTATCTTTTAATATCCTTCTTTTAACTTTTCAACTTTTTAAATTAAAAAATAAATTTCTAAACTATAGAAAAGATGAAAGACTACTCTTCACCTAGATTCACTAATTACTGACATTTTGTCACTTTTGTTTATCGTTTTTATCTATATATGCACATACATACTCAACTTTCCTGACCTATTTGAAAGCAAATATTGCCATTAATATTTTAACCCCTAATTACCTCAGCATGTACTATGTCTATGAACAAAAGATGTTATCATTTTTGATCAAGAATCTGATCACAGACCATATATTACATTTGGTTTCCGTATCTCTCTAGTCTCCTCTAGTCTAGAGAAGCCTCCCCCTAACTTTTTTGGTTGTTATAATACTGACACTTTAGAAGTCAAAGATAGTTTTTCTGTAGAATATTCTACAACATTAATTTGTTTTCTCAGGATTAGACCCAAAGCAAACATTTTGGTAGAGAACATTTTTGGTTAAATATTTTAGTGAGATCACCATAAATTGATGTTTTATTTTAACCATTTTCATAGCTACTGTGTTTATGTTTTATGTTTCCAAGTAAATTTTAAATAAGCTCCTTCAAAGATGTGGTTATGCTTTCTGTTTCTTTGATATTTCCCCAAAGAATGTAGTACAATCTTTGTGTTTATTACACACACAATAAATAAATGAAAAACTCAAAAGCAGAGTTGACAACTATTTCTAAGGATAGCAGAATATATATAACTATTATACACTTGATGATTTTATACCAGACTAAAAATTTTGCCTCTAAAATTTTTGAAATAATTAACCAGGTAAACAGTTTAGAAGAGTACCTAATATAGTATGTACAAATATGTCTAGGAAAGCTGGGGCTAAAGGCAGATATCAAGCAGACTGAACTAAGATTGGAAGGTGAGGGAATAGAGAAGATGGTTACGTACTATATCTCAAAATATTTTTATGAGTAAACTGAGCTTTACATGGAAGCTTTAGACAGCAGATTTAATAAAGATCTCATCTTTTAAATTGTACTTGATTAGAAACTATTTCTTAGAGAAGAAAGAAGAGCAAAATAGGTCATTTAATTCTTTTTTTTTTTTTTTTTTTTGAAACGGAGTTTTGCAGTGAGCCAAGATGACTCCATTGCACTCCAGCCTCGGCACCCAGAGCAAAACTCCATCTCAAAAAAAAAAAAAAAAGTAGCTAAGAACAGTACACAGAGACAACAAAATATGAAATTAAAAGTATGTTATATAAGATGGGGCTCAGGGAATACTTAAAAAATTATTTTCAAGAAATCCAGTACAATTTTTAGAGCTTACATTTAGAGGAAGCTTACTAGATTAAAAGTGAAATAAAAATGATAACATCATACCAAAGAAAGGGAAGCAGTAAATATGACTTGTTGAAGAACTGCTTCTACATAGAACAAGAAATTACAAAATTGTAGATATGGTATATAAAAAACATTTGCTAAGTAAGTTACTCTTAATTAAAATCAGGTTTGAACTACCATCTGATATTTTGAAGTACATCAGCTAATGATTAAGAGTATTCTTTTACTCTGTCCCACAGAAACAGTTTTTTAAGTGTTGGTCATTATGTAATCCAATTGCTTTTAAGATACAGCTTTTATGCTTCCCTCTTGCTGTCTTTTTTTCTATATATAACAAGTTATTAAAAGACAAACAGAAGCTTTATCTCATCCAAATGCAACTGGGAAAATACACTACGACATGATGCCTATAAATGTCCTATGTGGTGAGCTCCTCCAGATTTATATTTCATGAAAAAAAAAATGGTTGATGTCATTGCCAGACATCATCTAGTTACCAGGAAACTTTGTAATGCTTAATACAAAACTCTAAAATTGAACAAATTAACATTATGTTTCTAAAAAGTACTACTGAATAAATCTAAAATTATTATGTAAGCATTAATACATATTCCTTTTAAACCAAACCATATTTTGAAAAGCAATAATGCAAAAAGATTTAAAACCTATTACACACTGTATAAAAACAGAGTATTTAGGATACTTGCCCTTGAGATAAACAATATTACATAATGAACAGCTTTTATGACCCACATAGCTAAAAACAGCTCATGTTTCTTCTCATTTATAGAAGAGTTATTTGGTTTGGCCAACAGATGTGGAATTTTGGTTCTATGAAAAAGGAACCTGCAAAGAACCAAAAATTACATGGGTAGATGACATACCATATACCACTAGCCTTTACAAACAGCTTCTAGCAAGAAAGCCAACCTTAGTCTTGTGTATCGATGTAATTCTCTTAAGTGTAAGGATTATAGTTATGATAAATAGTGGGATAACAGTTAATTCTGTAACAAGTTCACTGCTTTCATACAGAAAAATATCATTGTAACTACAGGACCATCACAAATACCTTTCTAATAAGCCTACTCCAATTTGGCATTTTATCCTAAATAGTATTTTCAAACATTATCTTTTCTTCTCATGGGGTGGAATTCCCATGCCCTTCCATATTTATAGCGAGAACTTTATTTATTATAATCACAGTCAAAACTCCAGGTGTGGGAGATATGTATGTTACTACTGTTAAAGAGATGAGTAAATTTTATTTCACAAGATAATTTCCTCTAATTAAAACCATTTCACAAAATTATCTATTCATCTGTTTATCTACAACTTCTTGAGAATTTAAAAGGCAAGATTATGTTAAAGCTATAATCCTTGTTCTTTATTATACATAAATATATGTAAGCTATATATACATTTATAAACTATATATTTATAAACTCTTTCTCTATATCTAGTAAAGAGGGGCTCTTCACAAAATTGACTACTAGTATCCATCGAATATCTCTCTATCACAGGTCGAGACAATAATTTTTACTGCAGGATATCATGCCAAAATTATATTCTTAAAAGGATACTTCGCTGAGGAACATCAGTTTTCTTCTCAGAAAGTCAAGCTATTCATTAATTCATTTACTTCACAAATATCTGAATACATACTATATGCAAGGAAATGGGTCAAATATTGTCAAATAAAATTATACAAACTAAGTGGCCCTCTCCACTAAAAGGCTTATAATCCATTAAGATCAGCATTCATATCCCTTTAAAATACTTTATCCCCTTGAGCTAGAAAATTTGAATGAGAAAGTATTAGAAAACATTTGAGCATTCCTTAGGTGATTAATTACCTGATCTTGCAATGACATCACTGGATTATTTTTGGTAGTGTTGATGTGAAGTACATGGTATTTATTCTTTGCACACAGGTCATAGGCGATATTGGTAAATGAAGTGCTTGCAGTTTTGGGAACTCTGTTATAAATGATCACCATGTCCTCTTCCGCATCTAAAGCAGCATCTTGCCGAGGGCCATCCATTGTATGTCGCTGCTCAATTTCTCGGACTTCATGTCTTGCAATAGCCCTTTCTGCAAAGAAAAACAGATCCAAACTAAGTTTTTAAGGATACTATAAGGAAGTTATGAACACTAAACTTTGGACCATGATTAAGAAAAGATACATAAAAGAAAACAAAAGCAAAGGACAAAGACATATGGAAAACATGGGTATATTGCTTGGGGTTTTAAGAGGATCTAGTTGGTTCTGAAATAATTTTATAGCCTGGAACATAATCTTCCTATTCAAGAACTGGGTAAGAGCTGCTGAAGAAATGTTTTGAGGACCAAAGCTTCAGAATTCCTTATGAAGGATAATATGTCTATCAAGAACAAAGGAATAAACAGTCAACAAATGTAGAATAGCACAGACCACAGAGTACTTCAGTGCAGTTCCAAAGTCACTTCACATTCTAATAGAATTCCTACAGGCTGAATTAATTCTCAAACACATAAAGATCACATGGAATACTAAACTACATAGTTAAAAAAAAAATACTTAGAAGACAAATTACTTATAATTTAAGAAAAGGCTTTGAAATTTATTACCCAATTTAGTTATTCTCTGGTTTATAAAAATTTAGCAGGGCAGTGATTATATATGCTAATATGACTGAACAAGAGTAGAAACAATACTGCCACAAATCCTTTCTCTTTTTGCTGTTACATCGGATGCTATGTTTATCACATGGCTATGCTTTTCCCTTAAATTTCATGGTTTCTCTAATTTAAATCACCTATCTACTATGTGGTTTCAAAAGCAGTTACTATTTGCTTTCTACTACTCTCTATTTAATGCAAACTTCAGCTTCAAATATATATACATGTATATATTTATTTTAGAATAAGGATGCAAGAAAAGGAGAGGATAGAAGGAAATGAGGGGTGTGAAATCCCTAGCAAGATTGCAAATACTTTACACAGGGGTATTTACACATATAGTATGTACTCTCTTAACCCCCAGATCTTTGTGCAAGCTATCTTTGGCAGTTCCTCAAAAAAGTTAAACAGGATTACCAAATGCCTCAGCAATTATATTCCAAGGTATATACCACCCCAGGAACTAAAAACAGGTACTCAAATATTTCTTATTAATGTTTAAAGCACTACTCACTATAGCCAAAAGGTAGAAACAATCCAAGTATCCAACAGATGAATGAGCAAATTGTGGTACTGTATACAGAACAATAGAATATTATTCAACTATAAAAAGGAATGAAGTACTTATATGTAATTAATATAAATGAACACCAAAAATATGCCAAGAAGCCAGATACCAAAGGTCACATATTATATAGTTTTAGTAATATAAAATATCCAGAATAGGTAAAATGAAACAGTATTAATATATTGGTGGTTGCCAGGGAATGGGGGAGGGAGAAATGGAAAGCATGTGATTAATGGTTATGGGGTTTCCTTTGGAGTAATGTTTTGGAACTAGATAGAGATGGTGGTTGTACAATATTGTGAATGTTCTAAATGCCAGTGAATTGTTCCCTTTAAAATGGCTAACTTACATTCATTTCACTTCAAAAAAATTACCAAAAACAAGTACTCACAAAATATTGAGATCTTATGGGTTCATTTTAATAACATTAAAAACAGCAATTGTAAAACATTTAACAGTTTATAAATTAGTCATTTATTCTCAATTTTAAAAATATTTATCTTCAGGTACAATAATTTTATAGGCCCTTATAGACACATCTTTTACAAAAGCATTATGCTTCCAAACTAAATAGACTATTAATCCTTAACATTATGAAAATATAAGTATCAAATTTTCCTTCAAAACTTCAACTGACTGATAAAGTATCACTAAAAATATACTGGAGTTAATGTTCCTGAGACGATCAATCTATTAGATAACAACATTAAAGTAGCTGTTAACAATCCCATCAATCCAAAAACCACCAACTCTTTTCTTTTTGTGTTGCTGCTCAGCTTACTACGTTAAAGGAATATCAGATATATCTTACTAAATGTACTTGCCAAGCTTGGCTACACGTTTTTACAGTTATTAATTTAAAAATGTGAAATCCTTATAAGTTACAACCTTCTTTTATTATCAACCTGAGAAATATACTAATCACCTACATGAAAAAATAATATTGGTAATAGCTAACACTGAATTATTGCTATGCTTTAAGTGTTTTATGTATATCATCTGTTATACTCATGCTCTGTGCTGCGTTTTATATAAATCAGGTCATGGTTCTTAAAGCAAACCTAAGAGGCAGAATTATTATCCCCATTTAAATAGGGAAACTGAGTCTCTTTAGTTGATCACCAGCTGATTACTGATGTCAGGAAACCATTCCAAATCAATGTGACTCTAGAACCAGTGTTCCACATTATACTGATTGAGATTTTGCCTATTTCTATTATAAGAAGAAGTAGAGCCTTACAGTTAAATACAGCATTACAGTGTTATAGAAATCTCTTTTCTTTTTTGCAAATACCTTAAAATTTTTTAATGTATTTTATCTTGGAATTGCAAAAGCATTTTGCAATTGTTTCCTGCAACATTCCTGTGAAATAGGCATGGTAAATAAGTGAAACAGAAGGACAGAAGATGGTTGTCGTCTAGGTGTTAAAAAGCAAAACATGCTGTACTATCTTTGCAACTTCCTGTGCATATATAATTATCTCAAAATTTAAAAAGTTATAAAAAACCACAACCAAAGCCAATAACAAAATAATTATTGATATCATTCCCCAAATTAGTAATTGTATAATATTCTAAGTACCATTCTTAAATAGGGAAAAAATTCACAACATACAAATTTCTTTTATTTATGGGTTACTATATGGATTGTAAGGTCTGAAGTAGGTCCAATACAGGACCTATGTTTTTCTCTAAATATACCAGCATAAGTATAGAGATGAGACTTATTATTCAAATTATAAGTGGAATCCTCTTCCAATTCATAGTTTAGAAAAACACCAATTTGCCCTGATTATACTGACCAGAGTCAGATTTACCTGCATCCATCTTTTGTAGATGAAAATGCCAAAGCATTTCTGGGAAAAAATTCTTTTCCCAGTTGCCCATAGCCTGTTCACCCTTGCCTCTTACTTCTGTCTACCAATAATACAACTTTTTGCACCAAGTATCTATTTTTAAAATACAAAATGATAGTTAAAAATCATAGGTGAGTTGACTTCAAGGCTTCATTCTTTACTCATCTCAGTTACTTGAAATGAATACTCTGATACAAAATGGGGAGTTGAACTATATATGCTTTTCCTTTTTTCTTGAGCTTTACTGAGACATTAATCTTACATCATCCCTCACCTCTTTATAAATTTCAAGTGAACTGTTCCTATTTTCAATATCTATCTGGTACAAAATTGAACAAATGCCATTGTAAGAAATGCTATAAATAAGAACAAAATACTTTTGGATCCAAGAATTGGGGAAGAACCTTCTGGAAAATACACTGAATAAATTCAGCCTTAAAAGGACAGAGCTGCCTTTAAAGATATGTGGAGAAGGCATAAAAGCTTGAGTAGTAGCACAGGCTGATAAACAACAAATATATTAGTGTCATGATAATATTAACAGTAATGTGAAGCAGCTGCTGCCTAAAATCTATTGCAATTTTAGGCTATGCCAATAGACACATAGTTATCAGTGTAACAAGTGCTTCTATTTTGAGCTTTTACTGTGAGCTAGGAACAATGCTTCATGTTTAAATGTACATTACTTCATTTAATTCTTACAAGAACCCTATCTGGTAACATTACGGAATTCAGACTCAGAGATATTAATTACAGAGCTGTTAGGAACAAAGTCAGAATTTAATCCTTCATCTGTCTGATACCAAAGCCTATATTCCTAACCAAAACACAGTAATTACTGTCTCAAGTCACAGGAAAGAACAGTTCATAAGAAATTTGTGTTCAGTCACACAGGGCTATCATGTGTCATTTCAGGTACACATTAAAAACTAGAGTACTCCAGAATGGGAATGAGCTGGATAAATCATGCCACATAAAAAAACTGTTTAAAAAAAATCAGTGCACTTAGCTAAGAGAAAATCCATAAAAACGACTAAAAGTCTTGAAATATTTGAAAAGTTATTGTGAAAAAGAGGCAGAATCCTTTCTGTAGTATTATTCCAGAAAAAAAAGGTATGACTGTGGCTCAAGAGGGAATGGGCTTTCAAATAATTAGTAGTGCAAAGTAAAGACACAGGCAGTTTATGGGGTGGTAAATTATTACTCTCTGGAGATACTCATACAGAGGTTGCATGAGGAGATGTCAAAGAATGATGGAAAAAGGATTCCCGCACTGATGAGAGCTAAAATCAGGGGACCACTGGAATGCATAGGCCCTAGATAAGTTCCATAAAGCTATGATATCAATTTCTCCTCTACAGTACAGATGTGTTTTTGGAGGACTCTCTCCACCCACTCACCCCCAGGCTCAAACAAAATTGAAAGAAGCAGAAATAGAAACAGAAACAGAAGCAGGCCAGTAACAACCGGGTGGGAAGAAGGGAGTGGGATGCTTACTTATTCTCCCACAATCCAATTTTATTCACTGACACCCAGATGTATTTGTCTACCTTAAGACAAAAAAATATACCTTTTATGATTACTGTAAGAATTCAAGTAACTGAGCACAGTCATACCATACTATGTATCTTTGAGTAGAAAGAATGATGTGATCATTTATAACCAAGCTTTTTCCACCGAATTCATCAAATAATTTCATAACCATTTACTGAAAATCTATTAATTTAAAAGTATTGCACCAGATTCTGGACATATATCTACTCTTGGAGAGTTTGATGGTATAGTGTTATAAAAAAAGTTTATACAAGATGCAACAGAGGTCCCAAAAATGGCTGGTTACGAGAAAGGATCCAGAGGAGATGAGTGAGATAAAAAAAGTACCTTCTGGGTAACAAAGAAACCTTCTAGGCAAAGGGAAGAAGCATGAACAAAGTCCCTGGAGACACAACACTGAATGCATTTAGGCCCTAACAGTGGTTTTTAACAAGCTTAGAAGATGGGAGAAAGAT